CTTAAACTAGAACTAGTTTAAGAGTTGGTAAACATCAAATAAATTGGCCTTAGACTAAGAATAGTTTAAGGATATTATTGAATGAGGATGTTGAATGTTGAATATGAATATTGAATGACGAATGTTGAATATTGATTATTGTATATTTGAACTGAATACTCTGTGCATGATATCAAATGATTTGATTATGAATTTGGATTCAATTTATGTGGATGTTCGACGCTTTAGATATGCTTACTCAGCTTCACCGCTGAGCGTGTAGTGTGTTTTATTTGCTACACGCAGGTAGGCAGAACGAGTAGTTGACATGTTCCTGGCAGCAGAAGGAGCGAGGCGATCGTGGTGGATTTATGATTTAAAATGATTAAATTAAATTGTTATGAGACATGATTTAAATTGCTTCCGCATTATGGTTAAAAACTCCGTAATTTATTACTGTTATGAATGGAATATTATTTTATGATAAATAAAGATGTTAAAATGTTTTAAATTTTTATGTTTACCAAGTTAATACTTTAGTCCGAAAGGGGCTGCAGACCTGGACAGATTAGGGTGTTACAGACTCGACTAAGTTTTCAATTCTTGATCTTGTCCTTGAGTCTTTTAGGTCTTGTTCCAAGCCATTCTTCACGCCTTGAGTTATTCAACGAAACTCTTTATATCCACGGCGGTTTGGCAATTATCAAAACCTGTCAGAAATGAACACGACTTTAGTTTATCGTACAAAGTGTGTTCTAACAAAGATTAGGATTGGTTTATGAAAGTCTTCTCGAAACGAATAAAAAGGGAGCAGAGTAAAAATAATAAATTAATTTTACATAGTATAAGCTTAGATCTGGACTTAGGGTTAGGACATCATTTGGATCTATTTAATCATATTAAATTAACAATTGGAATAATAATATTTCTATTACTACTCATCCATTTCTAGATTTGTACTTAATCTGTTGCACTTGAATATCCTAGCCATTTTGGCATACAATATTTTCTCAATAAGTAGTTAATTAAATCTTTCGACATTAATTAACTAAATAAGGCAAGAACAATAGATTAACCATTCCAACATTAATTTAACATCACAAATAAACAACCAAACTAGTCCGGACCCAAAGTTCTGGACCCTAACTCATACTATGCAAACATGAATTAAAACAGCATTATATTAAATAAAAGAAAACTTACAACTTCCGTACAAGCGGAATTGAACAGATCTGGAGTCAAAATTTCTCCAAAAATTATTCTAAAATATCAGAATGCTAAACTAATATTTGGAATTGGAATATAAAGCTTAATTCCCGAAAATGGGAATGAAAGTGATGTGTTGAATGGGGAGAATCGTGCTGTATTTATAGGACAGAAGCCGAGGCGTCCAAGTCCAAGCGTCTAGATCGGGATGCTTGAGCTGCTCCGCCCAACCAGATTTCACCACGTGTCTTCCTTGGTCCGCAATCCAGCCAAGGCGTCCAACTTGGCCAAGCGTCCAAGTTGGACGCCTTAGGCCCTGGTTTGTTTGGGCTTCGCGGCTCATGCGAGATCTTGGCCCAATTTTGCTGGTTTTCGGCCCGAACGTCAATTTTCTCTTCCCAGAAGCTCGTTCAAGTCCGAATCTTGATCCTTTGATGATTTATTCCCTTTTTCTCAAGTATTTGAACATAAAATGGATGATTTATGATAATTTCATGTGGAATCCCATTTTATGACTCTTAGAACGAAAATGAGAGTTTTATTCATTGAAATCACATTTTATAAGATGATTAAATACTATTTACGTGCAATAACGTTTAGAATATTATCTAAATGATATGAACGAAATGGACTTATCACGCTGTATAGTATCATTTAGCTTTTCGCTAAAATAAGATACCGGGTGTCCTTCTTGACTTAGGACATCCCCTATGCCAACTCCGGAAGCATCACACTCTACCTCGAACAACTTTTCAAAACTAGGAAATGCTAACACAGGGGCGTGTGTTAAACGTTCCTTAATCTCCTCAAAAGCTTTCTGTGCTCTTTGAATCCATTTGAACTTCAGATTCTTGGTCAAATCCGTGAGTGGGGCTGTGATAGTACTAAAATCCTTCACAAATCGTTGGTAATGTAACACCCCAATCCGTATAACCCGGAATTACACGAATTAAGGTGAAACGAGAGTTAAATAAAAATTTCACTTGACATTTGAATATGACAATTACTTAAAAATATTAAATTTACAGACTCTGGATCGCGACCCATTTAAAAATATTTTCAGAGTAATGCGGAAGTACAATAATAATCAAATCATGACACATTTTAAAATCTGTTGACCAAACATTGCCTGCCATCCTTGAATCTCCTCTGACTCAATGCCCTCCGAGAAAGGTTCCATCATTGTCTTCTTGTTACCTACGTGTAGTCAACGAAAAATACAAACTACACGCTCAGCGAAACCGCTGAGTGGTACCACGCTAGAATTGTAGAATAATTCATAGACATATACGTATATATATGTCCACAAAAATGTATAACAATATTCCTGATATGACACTTTATATCATATGGTCAATTTGATGAATCATGATGATAAATATTTAATGATAATTGCATGATTATGGCACATTTAATTTAATCAATTTGATTTCTCTTGATGATGATTACATGACACCTATGTAATCAATATAATTGTTCTTGATGAGGATTACATGATGCGTAATTGATGTTACACATAGTCATGATGATTTTACTTGATGATGACTTCATGCTGTATGATTCTAAGTCAACAAGGAATGACCTTGCAACTATGAGATTCGCCCATTTGGTACGACGAACTCATGTCCTTCTTAGTCTCACGAGGGAGACTAGAAAAATAGGGGTGGTACTTGAAAGTCTGAATACCATGTACGTACACTAAGCCCGGTCAGGGTTGTCGGACTGCTAAGTCCCGCACAACCACGCTATAAGAGACGCACAAGGCATGAACTCTTACGCATGCACATGATGTGATATGCTTCAATATTAATGATAAAATGAAATATATGATATGAACAGTTTGTAAACAATATGAATATATAGTCATGCATTAATTTATTTGGGTGAAACATGATTAAAATATCATTTAAATAAGCTACGGGGCTCGGAACGGTTGACCGTTTGGCGGGACGGTCGACCTTGATCTTCAACAGGTCGGATTTGGCGGATCACCGTGACGATCGACCGTGGTTGACCGGCAGTCGACCGTTGTTGACTGCTTCAGTGTGGCTGCGTTTGGCTGAGCTTCGGCGGTCGACCGTTTGGCTATGGCGGTCGACCGTTCTATCGACAGTAGTAGTCCGTTTTGATGTTTAATACGACGGTCGACCGTTTGCTTCAACCGTTTGGGTCTGCGAAACTTTCTCTTAATATTTTGAGTGTCCAAAATACTTCTTTAAGTCTTTTAAACACCTTTGATTAACATATACATATTGTTGGGTTGATTTCCAAAGTTTATATTTACTTATGTGTATATTAACTTTATGGATTTGGTGTATTTTGATCTCAACATATAGATGACTTATATATGCATCACATATATATTTTGGGATGATTTCAACATATGGATTAATATATATGTTCATGTATGTATGTGATGAATGATTCGACAAGTCTAACGCAAGGGTACAGACCTGGAAATCATAGGCCGAAACCTTACGGATGAGCGGGAGTGGAAACAACATCGTAATTTGCCAACTTTGTCATTTCCGTCACAACTGGACAACCTGCGGTAATTTGGGCATATCTCCATCGTTTCTTCACGAAATTGCAAACCGTTTGATTCTGTGGATTCCTAAGATGTAAGGCTACAACTTTCGTATAGAAAGTATTTCGTTTTAACATATGTAAGATAGCGTAAATCGGACCTGAATTCAATAGAAAGTTGCTGTCCAGAATTTCGGGTATGTTGATAAACATGATTCCGACGATTAACTCACTAACTTCAACATTCCAACGCCGAACTTTCTTTGCAATACCTTCCGGATGTTCCTAATAATTGTTAGAGAGTTTATGGTAAGTATTTGGGATGAAATAATATGAATTTTGGTGAAGAAACACATGCCAACCCGAGCAGCTCGCCACCACTGGCGCAGTCCCGGTATTTTGGCCATATCTTCTTCGTTACTTAACGAAATCGCGAGCCGTTTGTTGAGTTGGATTCGTAACGTCCGGGGCTACAACTTTGGTATAATAAACATTTTTAGAAAATGAACGGAAAATTTCAGAATTGACTCACAAGTGGACTGATTGTCTTATGCTCAGGATTTTGGACACTTGAATGGTTTTCTTGCTCATTCTTCTTCTTCCTTAACATACTACCATGGAGTTGGAGTTTTCTTTTCTTCTTCTTGTTGCTGCCGACAGAGAGAGGGAGAGATGGAGAGGAGAAGATGAATGTTGATGATGGTGGTGGAACATGATGATAATGATGATAATAGTGGTGGTGAAGTATTATAAAGAAAAATTTGGATTATTGTGGTGTAGTGGGTGGCTTGTAGACTTTAAGGGATTTCACAAGGTGGCTTACGTGATTGAGAGGAGGTTTTGGAGATTTTAATATATTTTCCTACTCCGTAATTGATAAACTGGCTAAAACAGTACGCGCTTTTTCGCCCAAACTGCTCCGAATTGAAAACGGATTGTGTTTTTGGAATCAGACTTTCAAAATTAGAATTTCGACGTAATCAAAATATTTTTCTGAGAACTTTTATACTTTTCTCAGTGTTCGGGTCTGTCTCAATCATAAATTAATATAATAATATAAATGATATAAAAATATATGAATTAAATCCAAATGATTAATATGATGTTGTCAAGTGTCAAAAATTAAGATTTCTAATCTTATAAAATCACTTTTGAATTGAGTTTATTTTATGGGTCAAAGTTACAAATTTTAATATTTAAAATTGACATAACTTGAAATCTATAAATCAGATTGGTTTATAAAATGTACCGTTGGATTCGTCTCTTCGAGACATATCCATAAATATAACTTTTTAACAAAAAGTCATTATTTTGAAAATCCATTTATTTTTTGGTCAAACGTATAAATATTTATTATTGGACAAAAATTACTTTTGTTTTATAATAAATTTTAGGCCATATTTTGTGGCGTTACAGGTAAAATGAGGCCAAATCCTGGAAGCTTCGTACTTGCTGCAAGGATGTGGGAATGGGCTAATCTCTTATTGCTTGGGTCTTCTTGTCGTCCACTTTAATGCCTTTGCCTGAGATAAAATATCCCAAGAACTCCGTTTCTTGAGAAAAGAACAGACTTTTCTCAAGATTCCCAGATAGCTTTTCATCATCTAACCTTTTAATTACCAAGGAAAGGTGAATAACATGGTCTTCTTCATTTTTGCTATAGATGAAAATGTCGTCAAAATAAACTACGAAAAAATGACCGATGAAAGGCTTTAGCACTTGGTTCATGAGCCTCATGAACGTACTCGGTGCATTGGTTAGACCAAACGGCATGACTAGCCATTCGTATAACCCAAACTTCATTTTAAACGTTGTCTTCCATTCATCACCTTCATAGATACGAATCTGGTGGTACCCACTTCGAAGATCAATCTTCGAGAAGATTTTGGATCCATAGAGCTCGTCCAACATATCTTCAAGCCTAGGTATCGGGTACCTATACTTGATGGTGATTTTGTTTATCGAACGACTATCACAACACATCCTCCATGTACCGTTCTTTTTAGGTACCAAGAGAGCCGGGACAGCGCATGGGCTTAATCTCTCTCTAATGAATCCTTTGGCAAGTAATTCATCCACTTGTCGTTGTATCTCCTTGGTTTCCTCGGGATTCATACGGTAGGCGGGTTTGTTAGGGAGGGCAGCCCCTAGAATCAGATCGATCTTATGTTGTATGTCCCGTTTTGGAGGAAGACCATGAGGGATATCATCGAGAAAGACTTGGGAGTATTGTTGGATGAGGTGTTTGGCTAAGGGATGGATAGAAGGAGGGGCAGGGGCTGGTTCGGCCTCAAGGGTGTCAAGGAGAATGAACTCTTTGTGATGTCCGTATTCGTGTTGTTTGGAGTGGAGTATGGTAGAGAGGAGGATGGGGGGATCTTCTTTGGTGGGTGGGGTGGCCGAATGAGTGGTAGGGGTAGGGAAGTTAGGGTTATCTTCTTCTTATTCATGAGGAATGAATAAGTGTTGGCGAACCCGTCATGAAAAACTTTGCGATCAAAGAGCCAAGGTCTGCCCAAGAGAATATGGCAAGCATCCATGGGTATAATGTCACACCATATCTCATCGGTGTAGCTTTTCCCGATGCTTAATGAGACCAAGCTTCGTGAATCCACACGCAATGCTTTTCCGTGATTCAACCACTGGATTGTATATGGCTTAGGATGGGGTTAGGTTTTAAGCTTTAGTTTTTCAACCAATGTTTTGGAAGCAACGTTGGTACAACTTCCGCTGTCTACGATCAATGTGCACACCTTTTTGATGGTACAACGGGTGTGGAAGATATTTTCTCGTTGTATTTGTTCATCCGGGGCTGCCATACTGCTCAAAGCTCTTCGAATGACTAAAAGCTCTCCTTCATCCGCACCAATGTACTCTTCTTCTCCTAGCTCTTCTCCGGCCCATGAAGGGCTGATTTCTTCTTCTTCATACTCTACGATGGCCATTATCTTTTTGTTGGGACACTCATTGGCATAGTGTCCTATCCCTTGACATCGGAAGCATTTTGGGGTTTGGGTATTGGTGGGGTTGGTTTTTGGAGGTGGCGGGTTGGATGATGAAGGGGTGGCAGTTGGTTTTGAAGAGGAGTTTTGGAGAGTAGAGGGTGTTTTGGAAGTGGAGGGTGGTTGTTTGGTGTAGGAAGGTGGCCGTACGAAAGAGCTTCAGCTTCTCTTTATTTGCGCTTCAACTTTAAGCGCAAGTTTAGTTATTTCTTCGAGGGTTTGGTATGGTTGGAGTTCCACAACGTTTGCAATGTTGGTATTTAGCCCGAAAAGATATCGGACTAGGGTTAGAGAATCATCTTCTTGAAGGTCACATCTCATCAAAAGTTCTTCAAACTCCCGGGTATAGTCTTCCATAGAGCGGCTCCCTTGCCTTAGGCTTTGAAGCCTAGCCAAATTTTCTCGAACATACTGGTCCAGGAGAAACTTCTTCTTCATTAGGCTCCTCATCTTGAGCCAAGTCTTTACGGGTGCCTTTCCTTCGCGTCTTCTTTTGGAGGTCAGGTTTGACCACCAAGTCGAAGCATACTTTCATAGCTTCAAAGCAACTAATTTCACCTTCTTTTCTTCGGGGACATCCTTGAAGTCGAAGACACGTTCCACGGTTTCTAGCCATTTTAGAAACTTGTCGGGATCATTCTTTCCTTCATAGGTCGGGATGTCAACCTTGAAGTCACTAGTTCCTTTGTCACAAGAGCTTCCATTAGTGATGTTGCTAGAGTTTCCAGTAGCTTGGACTTCCTCATCTAGTTCTTCATCACTTTCTTCGGGTGTGTCCAGCATTGTCAACTTCATCTTTGTAAGTTGAGCCACTTCTTGGCTAGGTACTCAACTTGAGCCTTAAGGGCTGCATTAGAGGCTTGGAGCTCTTCATTGGACATGGTTTGAGATTGGTTTGACATGGTGAAAGGAGATGGCCGAAAATAGGGAAAAGAGAAAGGGAAAAGGGAAGAGTGTTCTTGGTCCTCAGAGATGTTGAAACAACAAGCTCTGATACCAAATGATAGGCACCAACTCCAAGGTAGAGAGGCACGACAGACAGCAAGGTAAAGGAAGGAAGTTATAAGGCTATATTGGTGAGGTTTTGTGCAAGGAATGGAGGATTTTAGGGAAGGAAAGACTAGGGACGAAAATTGGCACTGGGGGAGGAATATTTTTAGGCTTCTGTTTAAGTTGAGAAGTGGAGAGAAAGGTGATATTAAGGTGGTAGATGGGAGCAGGCCGAAAATAAGGGAGAAGAGAGGGTAAATAGCTGCTTAGTATTTTCTTTGGGATAGATAAACCAAGTTGGTGTTAAAGAGATATTACACACTCTTATCCTCACTTGGGGTTCAATCTAGAATTTAATTAAGATGTAACACACTAAACCAAATATCTAGAACCTAAAACTCACACTTAAGGAAACCAACCTTAAGATATAGAAATTAGGATTTAAAATAACAAACTGTTAGCCTTAGTTTGCTAAGCCTCATGTTTTGATGTTAACAAACAATATAAGAGCTTAACGTTTGTTTAAGTGTTTCAGGAAAACAAGAATCCATTAAGATTCGGTACTCAAGAATGAAGTCGAAACACTAAACTAGCATAAAATATAGGTAGAAACCAATGTAAGGATATGACTTTATATACCTATATTCACAAGCTCAAAAGCACTCACAAAAAATGTTTAAAACCATCACATAAACATTTTCAAATATCTAAAAGGTTTTAAACACAAACACGAAGGATTAAGGGAATTTTGGAAAAATCAAAACAGAGTCACGGTACCCCTAGCGGTACGCCACACGGTAGGGTATACCACCTACACGGTACCCCCATATCGTGTAACGGTACCTAGGTACCGATGGTAGGCGTAGACGGTTGGCCGAACCCGTCCTAACCAGGTACCGCCATAGGCGAACTGAACTTTTGGAAGACATGGTACCCCAAAACGGTAGGCTATACCGTGGTCACGGTACCTAGGTACCGGACGGTACAGACCCTACCGTGAAGGGTACCCGATCCATTGTAATCACTGTAGCAAATTGCCAATTTAAATTCTTATCACCCCTAATCACCTCCCAACGGCTAATTAACATCTTCCACTATAAATACAAGCCTAATCCTTCATATTTCAAAAAGAAACAAAGCTCTAAACATCCTCTCTTTTTATTCTAAGTGTGTTCATCCTTTTATTAATTATTTTAAATATTTTGGCTATTTTAAGTGCCTTAAATTCCTAATTTTTATACACACACTTTGAGCTTGTGTTTCTAGTTATATACTCTCATATTCATAAGTTTATATTGTATTTTTGAGAGAGTATAATTTCTTTCTACACCGGCGAAGTTTTGTTCTTCATTTTTATTCAAGCTGTTGTGTAGAACTCTTGTTTGTGTTTTTCAAACACATCTTTATACGGTCGAGAATAGCCGTTAAATTCTCATATTGTATCAGTCGAGGATAGCCGTATAAATCCTTGGGTAAAGGTTCAAGGATAGCCTTTGAAATCCTTGGGGGAACGGTTGAAGATAGCCGTTAAATCTTCATTGTAAACGGTTTGGGATAGCCGTTGTAAAATCTCGGAGTGAATCCTATTGGCAAGGGTTGCTTGCCAAAACTAGTGCGGTGCTTTGATGGAGTTCAAGAGGCCGGAACTTAGTGGATTCGGAAATCCTTGAGGAGGAGCCTCGAGGTACTGGAGTAGGGGTTTCCCGAACCAGTATAAATTCGGTGTGCATTTTATTTACGCTTTTATTTTTGCATTTTATATATTGCTTCCGCATTTGCCAACACCGTTTTTATCAAACTCCGAAAAGATTTTAAACGCCTTATTCACCTCCCCCCCCTCTAAGGCCTGGGCACAACGTCTAAATCGACTAACAATTGGTATCGGAGCGGTTTCGTAGTTGAAAGTGTTTAACCGCATCTACGACAAAGATCAACTTGTTGTGTCCTTTTTTAATTTGAATTTTTAAAATCTCAAAACTTAATTTTTCCCTAATTTTTTAAAAATTCAAATTTATTAATAAATGGCCCAAATGGATTCCCAAAGCATCCACCGCCCTCCATTTTTTAATGGTCAAAACTATTCTTATTGGAAAATGCGGATGGAATACTTCATTCAATCAATTGATTTTGATTTATGGTTGAATGTACTTCACGGGCCATTTGTGCCGAGTATTGGTAATCTTGTAGGATTATCTCTGGAGGATAAAAGAAAGTTATCAATGAATGCAAAGGCAATCAACATCCTCCATTGCTCCCTCGGTCCCGATGAATTTGCAAGAGTGAGTACATGCAAAACTGCCAAAGAAGTATGGGATCTATTAGAAACCACTCACGAAGGGATGTCTCGACAAAGCAAACAATGATTGCCCTTGGGAACGCCGAATACGAATCCTTCAAGAAAGGACCAAGTGAGACAATCCAAGATATGAACAAGAGTTTCAATGAGATTGTCAACAAATTGAGTAAGTTGGGTAAGACGTATACTACTTCCGAGCTTAATACGAAAATTCTATTTTCTTTACCTAAAGAATGGCATAGTAGTATAGTGGATTTATTACCGAAATGTGATAAGGCCGAAATCGCCCACATTTGGTCTTCCTTGTATTCTCACGAACTTTTGTTGAGAAAGATCAAAGAGTAAGAAATGCGTGAAAATCCCAAGCTTACCAACGCCTTCAAAGCTTCCAAAGACTCGTCAAGTGAAGAATCAAGTGAGTCAAGTGATTCAAATGACTCAAGCTCCTCGGAAGAATCAAATGACGAGGAAGATGAAGAGAAGGCAATGAGAATGAAATATACGGATTTCCTCAAATGGAAGAAGTATGTGAAGAGGAAAGAAGTATATTCGAAGCCGAAAAAAGAGCGGCATAAACCAAGGTAAATTCTTCTCACTTATTGGGATAAGATATTTTGTTTTGTTTTAATTATTTTCAAAAATAAAACCTTATCTCATACGTGCTTTTATTTGCTTTAGCCTTGGTTTGCATGATTAAATATTTTTTTTTGAATTCATCTTTAAATCATGCTTTTTAGAAAATAATCTCTAAAAACCCCTGAAAAAATTAAAGTTTTTAAACTTGCATCATTTTAGTGGGAGTTTTTTTTTTAGAGGGAGTTTCGTTGTAAATGAACCTTTTGCCCAATGATCTCAAAACTATCATTTTTCCTAAAAAATTCATTTTGATAGGGGGAGGGTTTCAAGAAGTTATACATAATTAAAATTTTCAAAATACCCTTTTTGATTTTGACAAAAGGGGGAGAAGATGTATACTTCAAAGTGGTGCATATGCAACTTCACTTGAGTACATTCTTGTGTAACTAATTGCATCAAACATAAACTTTTATAAACATAAGAAAAAGTTCAAAGTGAGTATTTTCAATATGCTTATTCTTAGGGGGAGCTTGCTTGCTTCATTATTTTACTCCCGCCTAACTCACTTTGAAGTATATTGTTTGTCAACATCAAAAAGGGGGAGATTGTTAGCCTTGGTTTGCTAAGCCTCATGTTTTGATGTTAACAAACAATATAAGAGCTTAACGTTTGTTTAAGTGTTTAGGAAAACATGAATCCATTAAGATTCGGTACTCAAGAATGAAGTAGAAACACTAAACTAGCGTAGAATATAGGTAAAAACCAATGTAAGGATATGACCTTATATACCTATATTCACAAGCTCAAAAGCACTCACAAAATATGTTTAAAACCATCACATAAACATTTTAAAATATCTAAAAGGTTTTAAACTCAAACACGAAGGATTAAGGGAATTTTAGAAAAATCAGAACAGAGTCACGGTACCCCTAGCGGTACACCACACGGTAGGGTATACCGCCTACACGGTACCCCTATACCGTGTAACGGTACCTAGGTACCGACGGTAGACGTAGACGGTTGGCCGAACCCGTCCTAACCAGGTACCGCCAGAGGCGAACCGAACTTTTGGAACACACGGTACCCCCAAACGGTAGGATATACCGTGGTCACGGTACCTAGGTACCGGACGGTACAGACCCTACCGTGAAGGGTACTGGATCCGTTGTAATCACTGTAGCAAATTGCCAATTTGAATTCTAATCACCCCTAATCACCTCCCAACGGCTAATTAACATATTCCACTATAAATACAAGCCTAATCCTTCATATTTCAAAAAGAAACAAAGCTCTAAACATCCTCTCTTTTTATTCTAAGTGTGTTCATCCTTTTATAAATTATTTTAAATATTTTGGCTATTTTAAGAGCCTTAAATTCCTAATTTTTATACACACACTTTGAGCTTGTGTTTCTAGTTATATACTCTCAAATTCATAAGTTTATATTTTATTTTTAAGAGAGTATAATTTCCTTCTACACCGGCGATGTTTTGTTCTTCATTTTTATATTCAAGCCGTTGTGTAGAACTCTTGTTTGTGTTTTTCAAACACATCTTTATACAGTCGAGAATAGCCGTTAAATTCTCATATTGTATCGGTCGAGGATAGCCGTATAAATCCTTGGGTAAAGGTTTAAGGATAGCCTTTGAAATCCTTGGGGGAACGGTAGAAGATAGCCGTTAAATCTTCATTGTAAACGGTTCGGGATAGCCGTTGTAAAATCTCGGAGTGAATCCTATTGGCAAGGGTTGTTTTCCAAAACTAGTGCGGTGCTTTGACGGAGTTCAAGAGGCCGGAACTTAGTGGATTCGGAAATCCTTGAGGAGGAGCCTCGAGGTACTGGAGTAGGGGTTTCCCGAACCAGTATAAATTCGGTGTGCATTTTATTTACGCTTTTATTTCTGCGTTTTATATATTGCTTCCGCATTTGCCAACACCGTTTTTATCAAACTCCGAAAAGATTTTAAACGCCTTATTCACCCCCCCCCCCTCTAAGGCGTGGGCACAACGTCTAAATCGACTAACACAAACATAATGGTTTATTACTTAGAAATGAAAGGAATACAATAATGTTCTCCAATGAGGCCTATGGCCAAAATTTAAACAAGCAAAAAAAGGAGAATTACTTAGCACCTTCCTAATTCAAATCACTGAAATATTATGCATTGATTGTGTCCTTTTTGTGGAATGAATTCAAAGGATATTGATGGATATTTGGAGGGGGATTTTTGGCCAGTAGTGAGGATTTTGAAACAAGGAAATAAAAGGATGATATTTGGATGATATTTGGGTGATTTGAGGGGAATGTTTTCGGCAGTGTTAAGGGATAAAGAGGGATGGCTATTAGGATGTCAAAAATGGGAGATGTGAGTGGGTTATTTTCGGCCCACTTGAGGGACCAAAAGGAGTGAAAGAAATAAGGTTATTTGGTTTATTATAGTTGGAGGAATGTGGTGGTTATAAGGGGTGATATATATGTTGTTTGGGTAGGGAACAAAGGGATCCATGTGTTGGGGTTTATTATGGGGAATGATATGGATTGATTTTGTTTCTTGTTATTCGGCCAGGTCTTAGAAAAGAAAGAGGGGATATTTATGGGTTATTTGATGTATGTTTTATTTGATAAGGAAGGATGTGGGTAAGGGGGGGTACGATTGTCACCCTTGGCTTAATCGATTATCATCTCACGTGAAAGATCTGCACCCATCAATAATCGATTTACACCATCTTGTAAATCGACTCTAACCCCTCCTGTAAATTAAAGAGACTTCGCTCCTCAACTTCTTTACCGAGACTTCGCTCCTCAACTTCAAGCTTATTATCAAAACACGCAGAGCGTAGATATAACATTTGGTATCAGAACTTCTTGTCCCTACATCCTAAAGGACCAAGAACACACTTCCACTCTTTCTCCTTTCCTTCATCCTGGCTACTGCCCTACCTTCATTACTCCACTTCCTAGTTCAAAACATGTCTCACACCTCCCAAAACATCGCCAAGGAAGATTTAGTTGCATCCAATGCTGAACTCAAAGCTCAAGTTGAGTATTTGGCCAAACATGTGGCTCAACTTACCAAGTTGAAAATGAGCATGGTCCAAACTCAAGATGAAAGCGAAGATGAGCAAGAAGAAGACGCCCGATCAGAAGTTCCTTCTCCCACCATGAGAAGAAACAACCAAGAGAAGTCTTCCTCTGACTTCAAGGTTGAAATGCCAACCTTCGATGGAAAAGATGACCCGGATGATTTCATCGAATGGTTAGAGACGATTGAACGCGTCTTTGACTATACCGAAGTGCCAAAGGACAAGAAGGTCAAGCCTGTGGCCTTAAAATTCAGAGGCTACGCATCCACGTGGTGGACTAACACTACCACCAAGCGCAAAAGAGAAGGCAAGGCTGCTGTTAAAACATGGACCAACATGAGGGATTTATTGAAGAAGAAGTTCATTCCCACTCATTATATAAGGGAAAACTTTGCTAGGCTTCAACATCTAAGGGAAGGAAATCGGTCCGTAGCAGAATACAACCGAGATTTTGAAGAACTCTTGATGCGTTGTGATCTCCAAGAGAATGGCTCGCAAAGTTTTGTGAGATATCTCATTGGCCTAAACACCCAAATCGCCAACACCGTGGAGCTGCAAACCTTTAAGAGCCTTGAAGAGTTAACCAAGTTAGCACTTAAAGTGGAAGCCCAACTCAAGAAGGGCAAATCTTCTTTGAGCCGTGGCACTCCCAATCACATCAAATTCCACCCCCCTTGATGCCCAAAACCACACAACCCCTTCCCCTCAAAATTCTAAAATCCTGCACCCTATTTCCTCACCAAGTGCTCCTCCTCTTTCAAAACCAAGTTCATCAAATAGCCGAATGCAAAAGTGTTTTCGTTGTCAAGGCATTGGTCACTATGCTAGTGACTGCCCAAACAAGAAGATCATGGCTATTGTCGAATGTGAAGAAGAAGAAATAAATCCATTTTGGGTTTAAGGAGAGCGGAACGAAGAAGAAGAAATCGTCGGCCCCGATGAAGGTGAACTTTTGGTCATTCAAAAGACCATTAGTCATGCGGCTGCCCAGGATAATACCACACACCGAGAGAGTATTTTTCATACTTGATGCACCATTCAAAAAAAGGTGTGTTCGATGATCATCGATAGTGGAAGCAGTGCCAATGTTATCTCCAGAACAACAGTGGAAAAACTCAATCTAGAGACATTACCGCACCCGGAGCCTTATGAGATTCAATGGTTGAATCATGATGAAGGAGTACATGTGAATACACGTAGCTTGATTTCTTTTAGCATGGGTCAGTCTTATCAAGATGAAGTTTGGTGTGACGTTATCCCCATGAAAGCTTATCATCTCCTTCTTGGGAGGCCATGGCTATTCGATCGGAGAGTTATCTACGATGGGTTTGCTAACACATACTCATTCCTGGTGAATGCTAAGAAATTTACCCTTTATCCGTCAACACCAAAATCCCTACTGCCCCTAAAGCAATCCTATTTCGTACTGATATATCTAAGCTCCGGGTTTGTCGGTATTAAGCTCAGATTCAAGGAACCAGCTCCTTGTTTTGCAGGAAGGGTGGATAATCGATTCTCCAAGTAGGATAATCAATTGTCAAGTGACTCAATTTCTCAGGAGGAACTTCGGAAGTTTCAGGAGAGGTAAATAATCGATATACAAGAAGTTACAATCGACAACTGAAGGCTGCAGATTTTATGGGAAAGAGTGATAGTCGATTGTCTTAAAAGGGATAATCGATTATTACTACTTGTGGGTGTTTCAAATGGAAGTGATAATCGGTTGTGAGGAATGATAATCGATTATTTGGCAGTGAATCTGGTCAGGAAGAAGGGTGTTTTTGTGGGGGGTATGGCTAGAAATATATGGAGATGATAATAATTGGAAGAGGAAACGTAAGTCAGTTGGGATTGAGATTTGGGAATCCGAAGGACTCCGTATTTTTATATAACTTAGGGGACTCTTCTTCTTCAATTCCCACAAGAGACGAACCAAACTGACGGGAGAGACATCGGAGCTCGCCGGAGAGAAATTCACCGATAAACTTAGCCGGAAATGAGAAGAACATCGCCAGAGTCCTTCGCCGGAAATTTTACTCCGATTCAAGGTGAGTGATTTATCTCGCTAAAATTAATTCGTAGATTAGTATTCGTTAATATATTTTCAAATCAATTGAAGTTGGATTTGTGAATTCGACTTTGGAATGCGTTGTATTGAATTGAAAATTTAGAAATTTGGGTTGCAATTATACCCTACTGTGTGTTCTTCGTTGCCATGTTCTGTTTTCTGTTTCGTTCTTTTCCCTGCTCGGCGTACTGTTCCTCTTCTCTCTCTCTTCTCAGTTTCTGTTCTCTTTCTATCTATTCTCTGGTTTTGGGATCACTGTGAATACGTCTTCGCCGGCTTTGTCACCGCCGGATGTCACAGTTGGAGTACGCTGCTGTGACCATCGCCGGTGCCTCACTGCTATAAAGCTGCTACGGGATGTGCTGCTACTAGTTTCACCCATGGAACGGAGGACGACTTGGAAATTATTTTGAGGAAGTAGCGTACAACTGTAGCGCCTAGTTGGGAATTGAGATTTTAGTTTTAAAACTTGCAATACGGCCTGAAAGCTTTGACCTTCAAATCATGTAATAAACATAAAGTAAAATCTTTGACTCAAAATTTCTAAACTAATGATTTAATGATATATTATATATGTGGAGCTAAAATTGAGAAGTAGGCCACCTTATAGTACAAGGAGAATTTATGTTTAATCAGGTATTGTAAATCACAAATAGGATTGAGATTGGAAATTAAGGTCTGGGTCCGGTTGAGGGTGTTTGGGATCACTGTGAGAGTGATCCCAAACACCCCCAGTGAAGGGAGTTGGACATGACTACAAATGACAATTTTACAGTGATCCCTTCGAAGGGAGTTGGACATGACTACAAATCACAATTTTAAGGTCTGGGTCCGGTTGCAAACACACTATTCGAAGGGAGTTGGACATGACTACAAATCACAATTTTACAAAATAAAATAGCAAGTTGTATCCAGAAGGGGGCCTCAACCCCCTTCTGGATACATTGACTTAAGTCTGGGTCCGGTTGGGGGTGTTTGCACCCTGCCTCCTCCTTCTTGTTGTCCCCTCTCACCCCTTCTTCATTCTTTCTCTCTTCCCACCCCCTTCTGTTTCCTTTCTTGTCTCTCACCTTTCTCTTGCTCTTGGACTTAGCCCATAATGCATATTACATCTCTTTCTTTGACTTGTATATGTATGAAGGCTAGTCCTCCTCGCTGTGCTTTTACTTGGCTTATTGGTTCTGAACTTTGTTTGGGTTACTGTGGATCTTGTGTTTGGAGGCTCATGTTTCTGAACCCTCCATCTTTTAGTAGACATTTTGTTTGCTGCCCATATCACTGACGGATGGGAGTTTGGATGAACGGATGGCTGTTTACTCTCTGTACTGGCAGTGACTGGTTTCACTTTGTATACCATGTTATGTGCTTAACCTGGCTGTGCTGAACTTGGATCTTGAGTTGGTTGTGATGTTTGGCTTTGCGTTTTGCTTGCCTTTGCTTCCTGTGTTGTAGGAGAGTTGACACACTCTTCGAAGGGAGTTGGACATGACTACCTCACCTCCCTGTGTTGTAGGAGAGATGATGCACTCTTCGAAGGGAGATGGACACACCTGGTTGCAATGGATGTTCTACTGCTAGCTATCAATCTTGGATGGCAGGTAGCCGTGCTTGTGTAGACTGTCTACTACTTGGGTTCAGACCTATCCCTTTTGTTTGTGAAAAGGGGGGTCTTGATCTTCTGAACCTTGGCTGAGATTGGATATACATGATGCTACTGATGCTAGGCCTTGCTTGACTCAACTGGAATGTGGAATGCGTTGCAATATGGACTTGAAGCTTGTTTTTGTTCTGTTTGTAATCTTCTTGTTGATGTTGTTTTTGAGTTTCCTTTTGGTTCTTAGTGGATGCTTTATGTATGGCCTACTACATTTGTTTGTGTAGGGGCATTTAGATTTGTAATTTTCTGCTTTGTATAGGTGGTTAGGTTGTATTTTTACGTACTTTTGCAAGTAACCATCTTATGGTTAAGCATTTGACATTCTTGTATTCATTTGATTATGGGTAATAATAATTTACATGTTACCTTGAGATTGGAAATTAAGGTCATGTAGGAGACATCGTACACCTGATGGTCTCGAGGGTTAAAAACGTGCGCACGGTGGTCATTGACCCCTGGCGAGAGCCAGCGGGGGCCTCAACCCCCTCTGTTACGAGAGCTTTGGAGTTATGAGTGTGGGTTTGGGCGAGAGCCTGGATTCCATTACTCCCGTAAGTATGAATTGGTTTATATTAGCAGGAAGATGGAGTAAATATGGATAAGAACTAAACTGAATTTAAAGGCTAAATAGTGGTACAAATGGATAACGATATTTGCTGATACTTCTGATATTCTTTGACTATGTATTAATGAGTACTAGTCTATGAGTTAGTTTTAGCGTTAGGTACTTCCACTCTCCCTATTTTTACAGGTACGGATCAAGGGTTTGATGAGGAGCAGCCTGGAGGACAGTGAAGCATGACGCTCGTGGATGACCGAAGCTGTTTTATTTAAATTACCAGAATGTTGGATTTGTTTATTTAAATTACCAGAATGTTGAATGTTGTTTTTTAAAGGCTTCCGCAACGTTTCAGTTCTTTACTCCGATTAAACTATAAATTGTTTCCAATAAATATGAATGTTTGTTTTATTTCCCAAATGTTTTTAAAATATTGTGCACGTGAATACAAAATTAGTGACAACCCGGCTCGCTAACTCGATTTGTTCGAGTTGTGCGGGTTGGGGTGTTACAAATAGTTTAATACGAAAGGAGGTACACAATTTTTCAAGTACTTAAGAAAATCGAAACACTCCATAAACATAAAATTTACTATAGATTTTTAAATGAAATGGATAAAGCATTAAAAAGTTAAAGTTATATTTATTAGAAAATAAAGATAATTAATCTCACTCATATATTTTTTCTAAAAATGAGAAAATGAGTCGAGTTTCGTAACATACAATGGCAAGTCATTGTCTTTGTCTATGTTTGTACTTTTAAATGATTTTTATTTATCAAAAATTATTTTACACATTAATTTTACTATTAAAATATGTGTACTTCTTTAAAAAATATTTTTTTCAAAAATTAAAAATATTAAAAATATTAAAAAAATAAAAAATTAGGGAGTCATGCCTTGCACATGGAATGAAAAGTGGGGTAGAATGACCATGAAATGCCATGACTTGTGTGGCATTTGCTGACATGGCTAGGCAAGGCAAGGCATTGCCTTGCCATTGTGAATGCTCTAAATACCCCAAGTAATTTCTATCATATTGTCACGCTTCTAACATTAAGTAAACAATACTCCAGAATATATAACATTAAAGTTTACATATATTACAAAAATTATAAATTTGGTTCCTTTTTAAAAAATTGGTGCCTTTTAAATACACCTTTGCATCCTATATTGAAATTTAAATAATTAAAAACATTATAAGCTTAAAAAATAATCTAATTATTTTAACATATTTACAAATCACAATTTTACAAAATAAAATAGCAAGTTCAATTCGCTATTCACAATAACAAATTCATAAGAATAAATTATAATATTCACAATTCACAAATATAAAAAGAAATATTTAGTTTAGATTAAATTATGTCAAAAAAACAACATAGAAAATTAAAGCAACGAATTATGTCAAAAAGTAGCAAAGGGGCAAAAATGAAGATTGGGTTTGAGTTTAGGAAAAAATAGCCTACACTAGGGGGATCGAGTGTGGGCCGTCCATGCAAGTCAAACGCGGAGCTTTCCACTCCTTCAACATGTCCACGTTGTTTCATTTAGCGTTTTGTAAATTATATACTAATTATACAAATACAACTAAAAATTTATATATATAGGTAAAAAATTTTAAAATCTTCGTGGGGTCGCTTGACCCTATATGACTCAACGTGGGTCCGCCCCTGGTAACAGTAGGGGGTACCATTCAAACGGTATAGGGTACTGTTACAATAGTGTTTAAGCTGTTTCTCTACCTTAACGGTCGGTTCCTGTGTGTGTGGTCACGGTAGGAGTTACCGCCATAGTGCAGAAGGAGTTAATCTTCATTTTTACGGTCAGTGCCTACATGTGGGTTACAGTAGGAGGTACCTTCTCATATTGACACACGGTACTCTTTACGGTAGGGGGGTCCCGACCTGACAGTAGGGGGTACCTTCACTACAAGAAAGATGGCTTTTCAGCGCACTTAAAAATGTTGTTTGCCACACTTATAAATGTGGAAAAGTTGACTTGCCACACATGACCTAAGTGCGGCTACGTAAATGTGGGGAATATTTTGCCGCACTTTTAAATAAGTGCAGCTAATAAATATATTTATGACACTTAGCATGTGTGGCTAATGTTTTGATTTGCCACACTTATATGTGTTCTTATGTAACCAACATGTAGTGTTGCAAATGTTGTACTAATTTTTTTATAATATTAATATAAAATTCATTATTTATAACAAGATAACAATTATATTTTAATTATTGATCTTTAAATTAAAGAATTTTAATAATGTACTAATTACAATTCCAAGTATTTTTTTTAAAAAGCACACGAGCATTTTATTAAAATAAAACCGCCAATAAGTAAGACAATTCATCAGTATACAAAATAAAACATGCAAAAATAGACTACAACCATCAAAACTAAATGTCACACAAACTACATCAGAAAAGGCTAACTCTACGTTTAGATTAAATAGGGACTCTTGTCTCAAGTATGATCATATTGGATCCCTGCAACAATCTCCCTTGTGTCATGAATCTTTAGACTCTTTGTCCTCCATATATTATAGCAACATGGAACTATCACAGTTGGCATCCTCAGAATATCAGTCTATCATTCTTCCCATTTCTGAGCTTATCTTCTAATTCATCTAGCAATTTAGCTGCGAGTTCGATTTTTTAACCCAATCAGATACGTACTAAACTGACCATTGCAGATGCAAAAGTAAATAATTAAAATAATGAAAATAAAGGTACAATCTAGGTACAACTAATACAGTATTTAAATATTGGAAAGGAAAAAAGGGTGAGGAAAAACATAAGTAGTATAGGGTACTGTATCAAGATTTAGGCAGCAACCTCGAAATGAAGTAAAGTAGTTTTTTAGCAACCAAAATTGATCACTAGGTAATGTTTGATCTAGCTCCCTGTGATGCAAGACAAAACTACAAAAACAGAGATAATGTGACTACTCAAAGAAGCTTTATTCCAATTTTGAAAAAAAACCTTAATTATCCATAAAAAAAACTTAAGAAAGATATACCTAGTATTTTTACAAGAGTCATTTGAGAGCATATTCTCTTTGTCTAGCACAATATATATGTAACACCCTAACTCGAATAACCCAATTACTTAGATTATTTGAGCCGGAGTAGTTACCATGATGATAAATACGCATGATAATTTGAGGAATAATTTAAAACCAATTTAAACTTTAATATAAATGATAATTTCAAATATTAAATTCAGAGTAATGTTGAAACAGTACAGAAGCTTAAATATAAAACACAATCAAATTGTTTTACATTTTGATTGTGTTGGCGCCTACTCGCTTCCACCAATCATAGGCGGCATCTTTCAATAGGGATATGGCATGCTGTCCCCAATCCTCGACAGGTACCTTCAAATTCTCCAGTACCCTCACCGTGCGTTCTTGCCAACGCTTGGCTATTTGAGGGTCCGCTATCTGGTCGCCACAGAATTCCTGCGCCCCATTCCTCTTGAGTTTTTCAATCGAGACAATGGGTGCAGGAGGAGGAGGAGGTGGTGGTGGTACGTGCGCTCTCGCCATCTACTCGAAGAACTGGAACATGTTCGCAACCATTTGTGGTTGGAACATCGGAATGGCTAAATTCGGGTTTTGACCCGCGAACTGCTCCGGAACTGGCTGAGGTTCCGGCTGAGGCTGCGGCTGCTGGGGCACGTAACTGGATGCTTCAGTGTGCACCGTGTGCACACTAACATGCTCAGGCTCCGCGTGAGGGTTTGCCTGACCGTGAGTCGAGTCCTGACTCATTCTATAATTAATTTAAAATGTAATTAGTCATAAGTAACTAATTGTTTTACCTTCCCGGGCAGAGATGTGGAGAGATGCGGACTTGTGTTTAAAACTCTTTTGATTTGATTTCCAAAATCTTTTTTTTTTAAATCGAATGCTCTGATACCAAAATGTAACAACCTAACTCGAATAACCCAATTACTTAGACTATTTGAGCCGGAGTAGTTACCATGAAGATAAATACGCATGATAATTTGTGGAATAATTTAAAACCAATTTAAAATTTAATATAAATGATAATTTCAAATATTAAAATCAGAGTAATGTTGAAACAGTACAGAAGCTTAAATATAAAACACAATCAAATTGTTTTACATTTCATGGGTACTCGCCCGAAAAGGTATTTATTTAATTAAAGCATCATAAAGGTGGTCCACCAGTCCGTACATCTCGTCACTCTCATTGACCTCCGGGATGGGCTCCATGATCAGTATTGTTACCTGCGTGTAGCAAGTAAAATAAACTACACGCTCAGCGTCAGCTGAGGAATACGCTAATACAACAATTCCAAGTTGAATAGCAAGTAGACATATAATTATCATGATATGACATAATATACGTACATACAAGTTCTACTACTACTGTTATATGTTAATTACAGTATATATCAGTACTACTAAAATGAACTACAACTGAAGTACGACATACCAAGATCAGTTCAAGGAATGACCTTGCAACTATGAGATTCGCCCATTTGGTACGACGAACTCATGTCCTTCTTAGTCTCATGAGGGAGACTAGAAAAATAGGGGTGGTACTCGAAAGTCTGAATACCATGTACGTACACTAAGCCCGGTCAGGGTTGTCGGACTGCTAACTCCCGCACAACCACGCTATAAGAGACGACGCACAAGGCATGATCTCTTACGCATGCATATGATGTGATATGCTTCAATATGGACGATGAAGTGAATCATATGATATGAACAATTGTAAACATTATTAATATGTAATCATACATTAATTTATTTGGGTGAAACATGATAAAAATATCATTTAAATAAGCTACGGGGCTTGGAACGGTCGACCGTTTGTCACGGATCTTATTTTTTATATTTTTGGACATCTAAAATACTTCTTTAAGTTATTTTAACACTTATGATTATCATAACTAAGTATTTGAAGTATTCCTAACACTTATATTTTCATTTAAAGTAAAGTATCAAGAAAAAAAAACATATTTTTACTTTATGAGTTTAATGAGTTTGATCTTAAAGCATAAATGACTTATAATATGGCAATCAATCCTAACGATATATCTAGATTGATATTCAACCGAGGATTGCGTTACTAGGGTGCAATGTACTCGCCTCGATAACGTTGAAGACGGAAGTGATAGGAATAAAGTATACGCCTCAACGAACGTTCAATGTACGGACACCACTATCAACTTCAAGCTTCCAACGTCGGGTCTTTTCTACGATACTCTCTGGGAGTTCCTAATAATCGTTAGAGAATCGACGATAAGAGTTTTGAACGGAATGGAATGAATATTGAAAAGAAAGTAGTCAAACCCGAGAGGCCCGTCGCCACCGACGCAGTCTCGGTATTTTGACCATATCTCCTTCGTTTCTCACCGAAATCGCAAACCGTTTGATGCGTTAGATTCGCGAGACACGAGGCTACAACCTTTGTTCAGAAATCAGACTGAAATAATGGCTACAACCTTTGTTAAGATATATGAAAATGGCTCACAAGGTGATGGTTTGCTGCTGCCAGGATTTTGAAGAAACTAGGATGATTTCTTCTTCTTGTTTCACCAATGGAGTTGAAGTTCTTCCTCTTTTCTTTGCTTGAATGAATCTTCCAACAAGAGAGAATGACTGGAAAAGAAAATATGAGTTTTATGGTAAGCACTTTCAATGAAAGATATGGATATGATGAAGAAAACATAGCCAACCCGTGGAACTCGTCACCACTGACGCAGTCCCGGTATTTTGGCAATATATCCTTCGTTACTTAACGGAATCACAAATCGTTTGTTGGGTTGGATTCGTAACATCCGGGGCTACAAGTTTGGTATAATAAATAATTCGAGAAAATGAATAGAGAATTACAGAATTGACGACGAAGTCGCTGCTGCGCTTTTCACTCAGGATTTTTGGAAAACTTTGATATTTCTTCTTGCTCCTTCTTCCCTTGGCTCAACAATGGAGCTGGAGTCCTTTCTTCTCCTTCCTTATGACTGGCCGATCGAGAGAGAGAGAGATGAGAAGAGAGTGATTGAGTTGGTGATGTATAGGTTTGACAAAGTAGGGAAAGGGGTTAATTTAATACACCCCATTTTTGGAGGCATTAGATTAGTGGAGTTTCTAGGGTGGCTTGATTGAGGAATTTGAAGATATTGAAGATATGGGCTGCGTGATTGAGAGAGTTTGGAGATTTAAAAATATTCTCCTACTTCGTAACTGATAAACTGGCTAAAACGGTATGTGCTTTTTCGCCCAAACTGTTCCGATTTGAAAACGGATCGCGTTTTTGGAATCAGACTGTCAAAACTAAAATTTTGATATAATTAAAATATTTTTCTGAAAACTTTTATTTTTCAGTGTTCGGGTCTGTCTCAGTCATTAATTAATATTTAAATTAATTAATTCTTTTAGGCCAAATTTCAGGGCGTTACAATTCTCTCCCCCTTAAAATAATTTCGTCCTCGAAATTACCTGATCACTGGTCACTGAAAAGTTGTGGATATTGAGATCGCATAGATTGCTCAGTTTCCCATGTTGCTTCTTCGACAGAGTGACTCCTCCAAAGCACTTTGATTAAGGGTACAGTTTTGTTCCTCAATACTCGAACTTCTCGCGCAAGAATTTCTACAGGTTCTTCTTCATAGGAAAGATTCTCGTCTAGAGTGACAGTCTCTGTTGGAATAACGTGAGATGGATCTGATCTGTATCTCCTCAACATCGATACATGGAAAACATCGTGAATCTTGTTTAGTTCTGGCGGTAATTGCAACCTGTAGGCTACAGGTCCCACACGTTCTGTAACTTTGTATGGACCTATAAACCTCGAACTGAGTTTCCCCTTTTTGCCAAAACGTAAAACCTTCTTCCAAGGAGAAACCTTCAAGAATACCCTATCACCAACAGCATATTCGATATCGCGTCGCTTGAGGCCTGCATAAGATTTCTGTCTGTCTGCTGCTATCTGAAGTCGTTCTCTAATAAACTGATATTTCTCCTATTTTTCGCGCACGAGTTCTAGACCTTCGAGTTTTCTCTCACTCAGCTCAGTCCAACAAACTGGTGTCCGACACTTCCTTCCGTATAGTGCTTCATATGGAGCCATTTTAATACTTGCCTGATAACTGTTGTTATAGGCAAATTCCATCAGAGGAAGATATTTTTCCCAATTATTTCCAAAATCAATGACGCACGCTCGCATCATATCTTCAAGAATCTGAATAGTCCTCTCAGACTCTCCGTCAGTCTGAGGATGAAACGCTATACTGAAATGTAGTTTGGAACCGAGAGCTTTTTGTAAGCTCTTCCAAAATTGGGAAGTAAATCAGGGATCACGGTCGGAAATAATGGACGATGGTACTCCATGTAATCTGACAATCTCGCGGATATACAGCTCAGCCAAACGTTGTAGTGTAAAATCTCGCCGAATTGGTAAGAAATGTGTCGATTTTGTCAAACGATCAATAATAACCCAGACTGCATCATTCTTCTTTGGAGATAATGGTAATCCGATTACGAAATCCATCGTAATGCGGTCCCATTTCCACTTAGGAATAGTGATCTGCTGCAGAAGTCCTGTAGGTACCTGATATTCGGCTTTGACTTGCTGACAAGTCATACACCTCGATGTGAATTCGGTAATCTCCCTTTTCATAGCTGACCACCAATAGTGTTTCTTCAGATCTTGAAACATTTTGTTACTTCCGGGATGCATGGTATACACGGTTCCGTGAGCTTCACGCAATAAGCGATCTCTCACATCACCTGATGGTACTACCAAACGATCTCGATAGTATAATGTACCATTATCTCGAATAGAGAAGTCTTGTTTCTCTCCCTTGGAAACAAGCTCACGTGTCTCGAGACAAAAAATATATCTTGACGCTGTGCTGAAATGATATCCTGATCCAACGTAGGTCGTATGTGGAGTTCAGCAAGAGTCTTACGACTAAGAGCATCGGCCACCACATTCGCTTTACCAGGATGATAAGCAATGTGACAGTCATAGTCCTTAATCAACTCTAGCCACCTTCTCTGTCGAAGGTTTAACTCCTTCTGGCTCATCAAATACTGTAGACTCTTATGGTCGGTGAATATGCGAGTCGTCTCGCCGTATAAGTAATGTCTCCAAATCTTCAATGCAAGAACAACAGCTTCTAACTCCAAGTCATGAGTCGGATAATTGCATTCATGGGGTTTCAGCTGTCGTGATGCATAAGCTATGACCTTGCCTTCTTGCATCAGTACACACCCAAGTCCCTGATGTGATGCTTCGCTGAAAACTGTGTACTCAATACCAGGTGTCGGTTGAACTAACACAGGTGCCTGAGTCAAACATTCTTTCAACTGTTCAAAGCTTTTCTGACAAGCTTCTGTCCAAGCGAACTTGACATCCTTCTTCATCAGTTTATGAAGTGGTATAGCAATTCGAGAGAAATCCTTCACAAAGCGACGATAATAACCTGCGAGTCCAAGGAAACTCCGTACCTCACGAGTATTGCGTGGAGTTTTCCATTCAGTGATTGCTGAAATTTTGCATGGGTCAACTTTGACTCCTTCTGCAGAAATCACGTGATTGAGAAAAGTGACCTCATTCAGCCAAAATTCACATTTAGAAAGTTTGGCATAGAGTTTATGCTCTCTCAAAATACTCAGCACGATGCGCAAATGTTCAGCATGATCCTCTGGTGTTTTTGAGCAGACCAAAACGTCATCGATGAAGACCACAACAAATTGATCCAAATACTGCCTGAAAATGCTATTCATGAGATCCATGAACACAGCTGGTGCGTTCGTTAAGCCAAAGGGCATAACGGTAAACTCATAATGCCCGTAACGTGTACGAAACGCTGTTTTTGGAATGTCTTCTGGTTTTACAGGAATCTGATGGTAACCTGATCTGAGATCGATCTTTGAGAAAACAGTCGCACCTCGTAATTGATCAAACAGATCGTCAATACGGGGTAAAGGATAACGGTTCTTGATCGTCACTTTGTTCAGCTGACGATAATCAATGCATAATCTCATCGATCCATCTTTCTTGCGGACGAAAAGGACAGGTGCTCCCCACGGGGAAACACTAGGACGGATGAAACCCTTATCTAACAACTCCTGCAATTGAGCTTTCAATTCCTTCATTTCTGCAGGGGCCATTCGATAAGGTGATGCTGAGATGGGTCATGTACCAGGTACAAGATCAATAGAGAATTCTACATCCCTTGAAGGAGGTAGACCTAGAAGTTCCTCAGGAAATACATCAGGAAAGTCACAAACCACAGATATGTCCTTATGGTTAGGTGTTTCCTTCCGTATATCCTTAACAGTGCACAGGAATGCTTCGCATTTTCTGTGAATGAGCCGTTTTGCTTGCATATAAGAGATGAATTCTCGAGCTTTTGGGAGAAGTTCTCCCCGAATGATTACTTCGTTACCGTCATCTGTTCGAAGTTTCACCACTCGTTCCTTGCACTCGACAATAGCCTGGTGTTTTGTCAACCAGTCCATGCCAAGTATAACGTCAAACTCCTTGTGAGGGAGTTCAATGAGATTGGCTACGAATATCTTTCCTTGAGCCATCAACGGACATTGATTATAACCATGTTGAAGACGTAGACTGTGTCCCAGTGGGTTCGACACAACTACTCGATGCTCAAGAGTTTCCTTAATGGCGTTAGATGTAACAGGTATAGGTACACATATGTATGATAAGGTAGATCCAGGGTCAATTAATGCAGATACAGTGATATCAAATAAAGTGAACATACCCATGATGACATCATTAGCCTGCGGATCTGTACGCCCTTGCATGGCATACGTACGAGCTGGTGCTCGTCCTTGCTGCTGGCTGGTTGCTGGCTTCTTCGGTTAGTTAGACGCGGCCGTGGAACGATAACTTTGGGTAGGCTCGACCCGTCGAATAGTAGAAACACCCGGTGTGCCTGGTGCTGTGGAGAAGACCTCGCCTGGGTTCGTCGGGCAATCTTTTCGAAAATGACCTGACTGACCGCACCCAAGGCAAAGACCCTGTGTGAGCCAACACTCCCCAGCATGCCTGCGACCACAGTGTGGGCATCCAGGTTTGTGGTATGCCACTTTCTCTTTCCCGTTCTTACTAGTGACGGCCACAAATGCAGTGGGAGTACATTTCGCTCGCTTGTCATGGCGAGAGTTGCTCGGTCCAGAGAAGGTGTAACACCCCAACCCGCATGACCCAAACCCGTGAGACAGTGGACCGGTGTGCCACTGAATTGGTATCCGAATATACAACATTTTCAAAACAATTTTAAACAAACGTTCTATCAATACATATAAAAATCCATCGGAGTAATTTAAAATAATGCGGAAGCCTTTTTAAAGTCAAACAACTTGGGATCTTGCCCAAAAACGTAATAAGCATTACAGCTAATTAAATAAAGCATAACTACAGATTAAAGAGAAAGCCACGCCATCGTACATCTCCTCCTCAAGGCCCTCTGGGATCGGCTCTAGGTTCATCTGTCTGATCACCTACGGACAACAAAAAGGAAAACAACGCTATCCGCTCAGCATTGACGCTGAGTGGCACTCCATTCTAGCACAAGAATAAACATAATAATTCAATGATTAAGATCGTGCATAAGTCTATCCTTTTAATAAAAATCAATTCAACTTTAAATTCGGTTCTTTAGATGGTTGACCAACAGTCAATTTATTTTCTTTCTTTTCAAACGATTTAGGTGTTAAGGGTTTCTCATTAACTCTTTGACCACCGGTCAAACCAATTTAGACTTTCACAAAAGTCAAACCACTTAACATTTATTGCCTATGACGGAGATAGCCTCAATCCGTAATACCGAAGATAGCCTCAATTCGGTGGAGGTAGGATCCCTCGGGCGATAGCCTCAAACCCAAGATCACAGACCCTCGTGCGCACGTCTTAACCTCACTGACCAGGCCCTGCAGCCGCCCGAGCAATGGCCAGTTTCTATGTTCGACATAATAAACCAATTGGTCCTAATTACTGATTAGAATTAATTAATTAACTTAATTAATTCAATAACATATTGGATTTAACCTTTTGGTCAAACCTAGGTCAACAGAATATCCAGACAAAGCCTAAGTCAAACAGGACCTAACCCAAGTCAAAGTCAAACCTGTTCAGTCAATTCACAATCCTCAACAATTCAATTCAAACAATCAATTAAATTCAGTTAACCAATTTAGCCAAATTATAGCATAAACATATATAACGATCCAAACCATTAAATCTCTTCTAAACGCTATTAACTTCACAGTACGGACATGGATTACGCCGAAATCGAATCGATAGCTCGACCGGAAGACAAACCAACGAAATCAAACGAACGGGTCAAATTGAGTCAAAATACGAAATCGACCAATCAATCCGGCATGGAGGTTAATCTGCCGGCGATATCAACTTGGGGCAGCGGCTGGATGCGGCGACGGTGACGGACGCCGTCGTACAGTGGCGAGGCGGCAGCAGCTCCCAGAAATCAAGAACAGAGGAGCAGCTCCGGTGATAGCCTCTGTCCGGCGAAATCCATAGCTGCAACAACGGTGAACCGGCGATGAATCAGTCCGGTGAGTCGCAGCGACCGCCGGCGAAGGTGGCGACCCGGCGTGGCGCTGCTCTAGAGGTCCAATTGCAGAGGAAATTGCAAGGAAGATGAAGATGGGATGAGGGCTAACCTGGAGTGGCGACGGCAGCTGGAGGCGACGAACGGCAGCACGACGAGGTGGACCGTCTTCGGCGGCGCTGATGCTGACGGCAGACCTCTGGCGAAGGAAACAGCGGCGATTGGCTGCGGCGAGGAGGCTCTGGCTTGCGCGACGCCGGCATGGTCGAACGGCAGGGGAGGATGACCGGCGATGAACGGCGACTGGCGGCTGCAACTCGACGGCGATCGAAGATGAAGAAGGAGAAGGTGACGCTGAAGTGCGCGGCTCTCATATCCGAACGGAAGACGGGTAGGTTTAGGTTTATTTAATGATCCCATTCCTAAAAGGATTGGGCTTCGGACCCAAAATACCTGATTAGATGGTCATAACATGAGCTCCAAAACTCCGATTCGCGAGCCGTCTGAACCGACGCGATCACAAAAATATTTCCTACGAGATGACATAAAAGTTGGGCTTAGAATCCAAATTATAATTTTAACCCCTTTTTGGGCCCAATTCGTAATCAATTGCTCTAACAATTTAATTAATTCTTTTAGGCCAGATTTCGGGGCGTTACAGAAGGTCCTTTTGCTACCATGTCCCATCTTCGGGCCCGATTGGACGGTCCGACTTTCTTCCAGAAGTGCCTGCTCATACGCAGCTTTCCTGATGAGCTCTTCGTTCAGCTCAAGAGCTTTCTTATAGACATTGTTGATGTCGGCCCGAGGAGCAATTATGAGTGTTGACGACAGGTCTGGTCTCATACCCTTGATGAACTTCTTGCAGCGCTTCTCCATGGTGTTGACCAAGTCTTTACCAAACTCGGCCAATCCGTCAAATTGCTGACGGTACTCGGGGAGAGTCAACTTTCCGTGAGTGAAATTGGAGAATTCCTCATATTTGGCCTCGACGTAATGATCGGGCACATACTCGGCTCTGAAGAGTGGCTCGAAGGTAGTCCATGGTACTGGCACGGGAATGTTGGCGCCTACTCGCTTCCACCAATCATAGGCGGCATCTTTCAATAGGGATATGGCATGCTGTCCCCAATCCTCGACAGGTACCTTCAAATTCTCCAGTACCCTCACCGTGCGTTCTTGCCAACGCTTGGCTATTTGAGGGTCCGCTATCTGGTCGCCACAGAATTCCTGCGCCCCATTCCTCTTGAGTTTTTCAATCGAGACAATGGGTGCAGGAGGAGGAGGAGGTGGTGGTGGTACGTGCGCTCTCGCCATCTACTCGAAGAACTGGAACATGTTCGCAACCATTTGTGGTTGGAACATCGGAATGGTTAAATTCGGGTTTTGACCCGCGAACTGCTCCGGAACTGGCTGAGGTTCCGGCTGAGGCTGCGGCTGCTGGGGCACGTAACTGGATGCTTCAGTGTGCACCGTGTGCACACTAACATGCTCAGGCTCCGCGTGAGGGTTTGCCTGACCGTGAGTCGAGTCCTGACTCATTCTATAATTAATTTAAAATGTAATTAGTCATAAGTAACTAATTGTTTTACCTTCCCGGGCAGAGATGTGGAGAGATGCGGACTTGTGTTTAAAACTCTTTTGATTTGACTTCCAAAATCTTTTTTTTTAAATCGAATGCTCTGATACCAAAATGTAACAACCTAACTCGAATAACCCAATTACTTAGACTATTTGAGCCGGAGTAGTTACCATGAAGATAAATACGCATGATAATTTGTGGAATAATTTAAAACCAATTTAAAATTTAATATAAATGATAATTTCAAATATTAAAATCAGAGTAATGTTGAAACCGTACAGAAGCTTAAATATAAAACACAATCAAATTGTTTTACATTTCATGGGTACTCGCCCGAAAAGGTATTTATTTAATTAAAGCATCATAAAGGTGGTCCACCAGTCCATACATCTCGTCACTCTCATTGACCTCCGGGATGGGCTCCATGATCAGTATTGTTACCTGCGTGTAGCAAGTAAAACAAACTACACGCTCAGCGTCAGCTGAGGAATACGCTAATACAACAATTCCAAGTTGAATAGCAAGTAGACATATAATTATCATGATATGACATAATATACGTACATACAAGTTCTACTACTACTGTTATATGTTAATTACAGTATATATCAGTACTACTAAAATGAACTACTTGACTTCATGCTGTATGGTTCTAGTCAACAAGGAATGACCTTGCAACTATGAGATTCGCCCATTTGGTACGACGAACTCATGTCCTTCTTAGTCTCATGAGGGAGACTAGAAAAATAGGGGTGGTATCTCCTTCGTTACTTAACGGAATCACGGATCGTTTGTTGGGTTGGATTCGTAACATCCGGGGCTACAAGTTTGGCATAATAAATAATTCGAGAAAATGAAAAGAGAATTACAGAATTGACGACGAAGTCGCTGCTGCGTTTTTCACTCAGGATTTTTGGAAAACTTTGATATTTCTTCTTGCTCCTTCTTCTTCCCTTGGCTCAACAATGGAGCTGGAGTCCTTTCTTCTCCTTCCTTATGACTGGCCGACAGAGAGAGAGAGATGAGAAGAGAGTGATTGAGTTGGTGATGTATAGGTTTGACAAAGTAGGGAAAGGGGTTAATTTAATACACCCCATTTTTGAAGGCATTAGATTAGTGGAGTTTCTAGGGTGGCTTGATTGAGGAATTTGAAGATATTGAAGATATGGGCTGCGTGATTGAGAGAGTTTGGAGATTTAAAAATATTCTCCTACTTCGTAACTGATAAACTGGCTAAAACGGTACGCGCTTTTTCGCCCAAACTGTTCCGATTTGAAAATGGATCGCGTTTTTGGAATTAGACTGTTCAAACTAAAATTTTGATATAATTAAAATATTTTTCTGAAAACTTTTATTTTTCAGTGTTCGGGTCTTTCTCAGTCATTAATTAATATTTAAATTAATTAATTCTTTTAGGCCAAATTTCAGGGCGTTACAATATACACCATACCCTGTAAAGTTTTAAACAAATATTGTACATGTTATAATGTAATATGCAAGCACATTTATTTTAAAACGATGAAATCATATGAAGTAAATATATAGTCAGTAAACCATTTCCACATATATATAATCCAATTTGCTTAGGAATCCTAACAAAAGATAGAAAATAACTCCCTATTAATCAAAATGCCTAGAGTGTAGTGAGTCGAAGTGCTGAAAATGATTATACCATATCTTGATACTTTAATAGTGTATAATATGAAAAGGCCAAGAGATACTACAAGTTAAATGAATTTGACAGCTTTGGTATGTTCTCTATAAACATCATTGTATATTAGTGACGTAGGAACCCAAAATAATTCTATAACTAACAATATTGAACATCAAGACTCTCTTTGAAGGACATTGTCTCAAAAAAGTGACTATGTCATGGGTCTATTTGTCTGCCCACTTACTGTATTGTGCCAATGAGTCAATATTATCAAAAAAATGATGCATATTCATCAATTGCGAGGTCATTTCAAGAATTAAGAACAGGAGTTAAGTTAACCAATAGCAAAACATAGAGCATAAGAAAGCAAAACTTTTAGCTGAAAAAATAATGCGGATGAAATCTGAAAGTCTTACTTGAATCCATATCCAGACATTACTTTAGCAGGTTAACTTCTCAACATAAACATTAAATACAAATACTCAAGATTGTGAAATCTTGCAAAATAGAAACAAAATCAAAATAAAAATCAAGCTATAACTACTACATATAACAAACAATCACAGAACGCATTAGATTCAAAACCAACACAATGTCAATCATTTAATAGAATTGAATATAAATTCAAATATGTTCAAGCCCTAAAACATACACAATAAAACTAGACTGGATATTGAAAATGGCAAATAGGGGTAGTTGTGAATGAATTTTCTGTTTCTAGTTCTAATAGGAATGGGATTCCAAAGAAGAAAGGCAGGCCAACGGGCAAGAAGAAAAAATCAGAAACAAAATCATATCAAAATTAGACAAAAACCTAGCCAGAACTATATATAAAAAACATATCATAGTATGCATTACATTCAAAACCAACACAAAATCAATCATTTAACAGGATTGAATATAAATCAAAAACCGTTCAAGCCCTAAAATATACACAATATAACTATAATTGGACATTAAATACGAAACCAATGCATACATGAAGAGGAAATTGAAGAAATGCGTCAGAACTATACCATTGAAAATACTATTTGATGTTGGATTTAGTTTTGTTACTTCCGCTTGTTGTCTCCAAGTTCTAAACGGTGGTAGGCTCTCTAAATTGTGGCCCTTTACATTCTTCTTCCATCACTGCATCTGGTTTCTTCTTCGCGAGATCCATGGTCGTGATCTCTGGTTTCGAACCTTATCTTTGACGTCATCTCTTTCCCTTCGTTGCCCTCGATCTTGCTCGCGTCTCAAGAATCAAGATGAAGAACCGATTTGGGATTTATGGGTGAATCTAATGCTTGAGTCTGATGCGGTTGTGGTATTTGCGTAAACCTAATTTACGGAAAAGGAATAATTATATGGGTTGGAACTTTTTTTGTGTGTATTATTTGAAAAGAAAGAATGATAAAAAGGGTTAATTTCTTATTGTGTATTGGAAACACCAAACTAGGTAAACATAGATATAGGGCCTGTTTGGGAATAGCATTAGAGATTAGCGTTAGAGTTTTGGATAAAATTTTAACGGTGCAGATTATTTTGAAAACGCTTATGCTAAACGCTGCCCGTAGATAGCCTTTTCAAAACACTAATGCTAATCGCTAACACTATTCCCAAAGAGGCCCATAGTTATTTTTCAATCTGCAAAACTCATAAGTGTGTAAAAGTTAAACACACATTTATCACTTACCGCATTTAGTTATGTGCGGCAAAATATGTGTGGTAAAAAGCATATTTTCTTGTAGTGCTTCTTAGATTAGCTCACGGTACCCCTTATGGTATAGAGTACCTTTTGACTGTTTTGATGATTTTATATATTTTTGTCTAAATCATTTCCAATTTTGTTTAAAACCTTTTGGATGTTTGAAAATGATTATAAGAAGGTTTAAAACATATTTTGGGAGTGCTTTTGAGCTTGTGAATATAGGTATATAAAGTCATATCCTTACATCGGTTTCTACCTATATTCTACGCTAGTTTAGTGTTTTGACTTCATTCTTGAGAACCAAATCTTAATGGATTCTTGTTGCACCTAAAACACTTAAACAAACGTTAGCTCTTATATTGTTTGTTAACATCAAAACATGGAGCCAAAATTTCCATCATCTCCGATGGAGCCAAAATTTCACCATTTTTTGGCTTTGGGGTGTGATGGAATAAATCAAAATGGATCTCTAAACTGTCTACGCTTCTTTAATTAATGAAGTAGCAGTTAGTCAAGCAATGCAATTTTTGACGTTGAGCTGGGGGTCTCTTTGGAAACAGCCTCTCTACTTTCGAGTAGGGGCAAGGTCTGCGTACACACACCCTCCCCAGACCCTACTCTTGTGGGATTTAACTGGGTTGTTGTTGTTGTAACATCAAAACATAAGGCTTAGCAAACCAAGGCTGATATATCCTCGGGCACCACTACAGAACCCGAAGTCATTAAACAAATCAACGGAATAATGTCTAAAAGTTATGATTTTTTCTAGAATGAATTCATCACTACCAAGCCATACAACCCAGCCCTTTTAACCATGGACCCATCCTTACCTTAAATTGCCAAATGACATGCACCAAAACCAAACCAAAATCCAAAAATAAACCCATAAAACCTTAGCCTTATTTTTCTCTCCTTTGACCGAAAACCAACCCACCATATGACCCTACTTAGTTCACCCCATCAATATTACACCTTTCTCCCTAAAATCATAAGTCTTTCTCCCTTTCTTTTCCCCTAGCCTGGCCGAAACACACCAAGCCAAAACAGCCCCTTTCCTTCACCCAACATCCAAAAACTTGTGGCCCTCCCTTGTCTTCTATAGGTGCCGAATTCCAAGGCACAAAACAACAAGGGAATTTCCTACACTTTTGACCCTATAAC